AGGGGCTGAGGGAGTACTCTGATATGGAATTCAAAGAAATGGTGCTCGAGACATTACAATGATAGATGAAGTGCAGCCATGAGCAAAGAAGCAATAAAAAAAATCATTAAAAGACAAAATGGACACAATCAGCAGGATACTAGAAGCTGTGGAAAAACATAAAAATGAAATTCAGAACAACATTAGAAAAGGTATCAACACGTGGGAGGGACAAAAGAGCAGAATGGAAGAACTAAAACAGAATCGGTGAGACAGAAGACAAAACCCTTAATGTTAATCTCTTAGAGAAAAAAGCAGAGACAAGATGGAAGGAAAGTGAGGGGAGCTCCAAGCAAACATAAGACCTGTGTGAGAGGACTTCAAGAGAAAAGACATACATGTGATTGGAAATCCAGAACAGAAAGGGGTGGGGGAAGCACTGAGAAAATTGTAAAAGTACTCAATGAAAACATCCCAGGAATCGTGAAAAGTGAGAAAAAATACATTCAAGAAATCCAGCGAACCTCAAACTTCAAACAGAATAGATATCCAAAGAAAAACATCAAAACATATCATAATCAGATTTTCCCAAGTCACAGACAAGGATAGAACATTAAAAGCAGCTTGAGAGAAACCAAGAGCCACCTACAAAGGGGTACCACATAGGCTAAACTCCAGTTTCTCAGCAGAAACCATGCAAGCAAGGAGACAAAGTGATGGAATATGCAAAAAACTGAAAGAAAATAAATGGTCTTCCCCCCCCCCCCAAGAATTCTGTATTCAGAGAAACTGGCCATCAAATGGAAGGAGAAATTAGGTCATTATCAGGAAAGAGGAAACTAAAGGAATTCATGAATGCAAGACCAATTCTACAAGAAATGCTGAAGGAACGCCTTCACACAGACACAGCACAGAAAAGTGGATGGACCCAGTGACCAGCAAAAATGCAAAAAAGAAATCAACAAAATGGCATGAGTAAAACCTTGCCTATTGGTAATCATACTGAATATGAAGGTCTTAGCACACCAACTACGATAAAAGGGGTAGAAATAAAGAATTAAACAAAAAGGACTGAGAAATTGTGGTGCGTTCACACAATAGAATGCTCTGTAACATTACAAAAACAATTAAAAACTTGTGAAATATTATACAGTATAGAGAGCTCTGGTGGCTTAATGGTAAGAAACTGAGCTGCAATCTCAAAAGCATGCAGTTCAAAGCCACCAGCTACTCTGTGGGAGAAGGGTGGGTAATCTCCTGTGTGATTAACTGCCTCTGAAAACCTGCTAGAGTCAGCCATGGGTTGGTTCAGACTTGATGGTACACAACAACAACAATATACTACATAGACTGGACAAGTGTAGAGGACATTGTGCTGAATGAAACAACAACTCAGTGATAAATAGGATAAATACTATATAAGACCTCTATTAGAAAAATAAGAGGGTTATGGGGTGGAGAGAGTAGATATAAAATGGACAATGACTACTGTAAGAGATTAGGGGGAAGAAAGATTCACTTGGAACAAATAGAGGAATTGACAATATGCGTATTACAATAAACAATTTGTAACAGGATGTGCAAAATTGATAAAACAGAGAGGAGAGGAAAGAAGGAGAGGGAGGGTGGAAGAAAAGAGAACAAAAATATAACGGAAGTAGAGGTTAGTGGATGGAAGTATAGGGTGAAAGGAAAGATATAGTGAGGCTTTGATGTGATGTTGTGATAAGTGACACTGATCAATCGTAATTTATGACGTAAATCAGAATGTACATGAATGATTCAATGAAAGTAAATTTAAAAAAAGTAAAAACAAAACAGGATGCACCCCTGGCATACACCCTTCCCAAATTTGAACCATGCAGTGTTACCCTGCTCTGTTCTGACTACTGCCTCTTGGTCCAAGTATAGGTTTCGTATTAGCACAATTAAATGTTCTGGGATTCCC